CAACCTTAACTGAAAAGGCGTGTGACGCCAAATTCTGCTCCCAGTGCATTACAAGAGAATAAATTAATCATAATCTTCTATATATAGTACAAAGTGTCGCACTATCGCATACGTTTGGGGATCGAAAATCGGATTGACCCTAGCCAAAGAACCCTTCCTTCTCGCCGAAGTCAGTTAATAGGTACCAGACTTGTTTGAGAGGATAACTGCACCGGCTTGTACATTGGCTGGTCACCGCAAGTCACTGTATACGCATTCAATGCGCCACTAATTTTATTCTGACTAAAAGACGAGTGCTAAGCGCATCCTCCAAATGGAATCGTTCAATGTTGAGATCTTTGAGATCTATGATGAACTCGAAGCACTTGTCGGTCGATTTTTATCCTAAATTTTACCATAGACTGTAAAAGTGTTGAAAACGAGGTGTTTTCCTTGGATAAAACTGTTATCATGCGCTGAGCTGTGCGTCTCTGACGTACGTAGCGGATCACACGACGCCTACGGCAGCTTAGTAGTCCATAGTGTGGTTTCACACATCGCCAAGATCTTCCAGAGTATTATGAATTCACTTTGGCTTTTTAACGTCACCGCAAATACCCCCCGCTGCTCACTAACAAAAAACATGCGATCATTTGCGGATTATAAATGTCAACTTAGGGAGCTGCTCCAATGCTTGCATGAGTTCTCCTTCTATGTATGAGCCGATGAACCCAAAGTCTCGCATTCAGGCTCAACTTTAGCAGAAGAGATTCCGAAATTAGGATTTCGACTGCACAGCTAGAAATAGGCAACAGTATGTACGCGAGAAGTCTTTGTACCGGGGAAGTGTATCGGGGAAGTGCTGCTTCGGCCTGAGGAAAGCCCGAAACCGCTCCTCCGAGAACCGCATGAAGACTTGAAATTAGTTGACTTTTATCCTGGCCAAGCCTTTATTCGAGAAGAAAGGGGTCAATACCCCAGGATTGCAGACTTTTTTTCAAGTGGGACAACTATGGAAGAGAAATGAGAAAAAGATGCTAATCAATCGCGTTTCGGGGTGTGCCCCCACGTTCGATTTCCATCAAAAATCGTGGCGGCAGCGTGAAAGACATATTTCCCGGTGAATGACTTGCGGTGGCCAGCCAATGTATAACACAAAGCCTTTATTTTCACATATTACCATGGCACCAATTAACCGACCCTGGACGGTTGGAAGGCTTGGTTGGCCAAAGCAGTTATGAAGCTGGTATTCAATCTCTTGACCATGAGATCACACGGCTCCAAAACACCTCCACCTGAATGTCGATACTTTGATGGAACTTCAACCTTACCAATTTTCCCCAATCATTTGTCGGCTGTAGTAAATATTACCCTTCCTAGAGGATGGTCCTCCAAAATTATCGTCATAAACCAATCATAACCGTATCGAACAACACCAGCAACCATCCTACCGACCAGAATTCTACCTCTTCTACCGACGATTTGATCCAAAGCAGTAGAACTGTTGCTCTGTCCCATTTCCCTTTTCTCTTTTCGTCCTCTTCTCTGCCGCCATTGCAGGATCCACAAGCACTTCGCTTCTAGGCTGACCTATGCACATCCATATTTTTGTTAATGGAGCAAACCAGAAGCTGTGATTCAATACTACTCCAGAATTTTCGCTAACATTCTCTGTGATGGCCCAAAAGGGACCAAGTCAACATTTTTGTAAGGTTCTCTGCGACAAGGTCCACGCATTTGACAATTCATTTGTTGAAAAAGTTCTGTATTCCTCCGAANTCACATTCCAATAAATTCTCATTCATAAATATTGTTTTTCATATAAGTTATAAAACTGTAGTGAGCAGTGGCCAGTTGACTTAATTTTTATTCCTTGTGACACGAGATAAAAAAGCGGATATTCTTTTCACGTCGCGGTCGTCCAGTGAATTACCGGCTTTAATCTTTGAAGATGATTGTAGCTGGAGGAATGTTATAAGATGGAAGTTGAGTAATGTAATGTAGTGGTAAAGAGATTCCCAATAATGTTTCCAGAGGATTTGTTCGTTCTTGAACGGGGTGTCAACTCAATTAGAGTGTTAGATTATGAGGAAAGCCATAGCGTGCATCACAGAGTGCTCAGTGTGCAATATGCTTTTGTCCTATTTGGGGAGCAGTCATGCACTAGAAACATCCTGAAGAAATCATTTCAGAAAGGGTGTGCGGAGCTCTACTGTTTAGTAGCTTGCCAGGATCATACAAGGCGTGTCATTTAAGTTCGGCTGAGCCATTCTTTAAGCATTAAGGTGTTCTTCCTTGACCTCATAATCTTACTACAGCGTGAACCATTCACCACTCATGTTAGCTCGCTCAAAGGCACAGTTCACGATAAAAATGGTTCCTGAGAAATCTTCATCTGACAAATTTGTGGCGTTCCCGTATCCCATATGTAGTGTGGTAAACAGCCTAGATAGAGCGATATGAGGGCCCAGAGATTGTGTCGACTAAATGCCATACCCATACCTCCCATGTTGATATTGGATGGAGACTCCCATGTTGAAAATTCAGAGATGTAGACGTGACCAATGACGACAGTGAAAGGCAGTTTTGGGCATTTTTGGCTTGACGTGGTCAGCTCTTTGCGCAAATGCAACAACAAAATCTCGTCCAAAGTCCCCTTCCATAACATTTCGGCCATGGAATCTCGTACAACCTCTATTTCCTCTAGTTTTGTAAAGCCATACTGCTCGCCAAGCCAACGGATTTCTTCGCTTTCTTCGCCTCCGATGCACTATCCTCCGCCAACACCTCCGCTTTTTACGTAAAAAGGGTACCTCAAAATTATCGTGAACTATACCTTTGTAAACTTGACGGGTAAACAAGTCTAGATCTCATAGCACGAATGCTAGAATTCACCCCAAGGTCCAATATACCCTTACGTTAGATATGCAACAACACGAAGGAAACAGTCGAGAGCACTGGAGAGAGGCATGCATTTTTTATTCCTTGCACTTCGATGAGCCGTGTATGGTTCGACTCTGGCACTGCTATATGCCAGGATCCACAAGTCTCGAATAATTACTAAGAAATGATATTATAATGGATATTATAATGATATTAGGTTTGACATTACCAAATATTATGACAAGCCTCTAACAATTTATGATGTTCAGTATTTCGATAGTGCAGGCTCTCGCAAATAAAATATTTCGAGAATACGAATGACTCAATAAGGTCAAACAGTGAAGGCGATTCGTTTTTTTGCTAGTCGACCTTCATTTCAAATAGCTTGCATTTCATAGTAACTCTGCGAAAGGACATGATTGTCTTTCATGAAGGATGAGACGTAACTACAATGTAATGTCAAGACGTTATGATCATACTGGGAACTGCTATAGCTTTGCGTTGTTCCGAAAGAATGAGCAAATGTAGAAGAGAGCGAACTTCTTGTTGAGAATCCTTCCTCCAACCGCAAAAAGGGAACTTCAAGTCAACGAAAACCGAGTAAAGTTACAAAAACTGCACTCCACCGAGTGATGCTTGAGGAATAAGAGCTACTCCCATCAGATGCCTGCAAAGACCTAATCCATTTCCGACCAGGCAAGTCTTCCATCTCCCCTGCGGATTCGATAATTAGTAAAGGTTTGCCCTAAAAAGTAGAACAGTAACCTGGCCATCGGCTTACTCTTGAGGTGAGTGTATAGAGCGAAGAATTGCTTGCAAGGCTTTGCAGGAAATTTCAGCTAATTTTTTGACAGTATTTGACAGAAGCAATTATCCTCTGAGCCGATGAAAGAATGAAAGATAGATTGCGAAAAAGCCCCAAGCAACAAGTTCGAACAACTGGAGTAAAAAGATGTTGAGTGTTGTGAAATTGTAAGCGGTAGCAGAGAAGAAGACGAGGTTACTGAACGGCAGTAAATCAGAGACCAGTGTAAGTGCAATTGAGGGGCAGGAAGTCTAAAGTTGACAACCATTTCCATTGAAACAATCATTAGAAGATGAGATTTAGCCGCCAGCACGGTTTCACCAGCAACAAGTCTGGATTACATACAGTAGCGCTCAAAAGTTTTCGGCCAACTTTAACTTACCGTAACTTTTTTCTCAGTGTAGCAAATCGCGTGAAATTTTGATATGTTTAACTGAAGCATGTTTCACACTGTCCAACACTATTTGACTGCAAAGCAGCCATATCCACATATTAATTGGGAGGCGTTCGTAGACTGTGCTGAAAGCAAGTTTGTAACGTCTGCAGTTATTCCGACCTTATGTACGGTTTTCTTCTCTTCCGGGTTCGACATTAGTGCTCGTACACTTAAGACATGGCAAAAAGTAAAGGACTCCTAGAAGGACCATCATTCGTATTTCCAGTTGATTTTTCGTTCAAGCCCTTTTGGATATCTGGAACATGATCAGATTGCAGGTTAATATAGTTATAAATATTCACACTACACCCATGCTACACATATTGAAATTTCGCATGATTCGATCCAGTAGGAAAGGAGTTACGACTGAAAAATTATAACTGAAGAAGCATTTCGCCGAATACTTTTGAGCGCTACTGTATATCACAATTAGCGCCATCGAGTTTGAAGACCTGGCGAAATAGTTCCTAAATTCGTCATGCAGAGGACGTGGCTGTTTCTGTAGGATTACTTGCACTTTTTACTGCTGTTATAGTCATTTGAAAGTCTTCTTCATCATCAGTCAACCACCTTTTTCGATTTCTAATTTTCATACGCGCATGAAGGCCTTCTTGGTGTTAGAGCTATTCCAAGTATTCACCGTTCAAATAAGTATTACAACTTTTTTATTCCAACTAAGTGTGTCGTAGCTCAACTCGTACTACTGATAATGTCGGAATTGAATAATTAATAGTACAAATTTGCAATGAAAGACCATTGGGTACATAGTACCTACTCATATAGCGCGGTAGTTCCCAAAGATATTGAGCGGATAACAAGCACCTTACACCAGGTTTCAAGAGAAAAGATTATTAACAAACGAGTAACTATCTCAAACTAATGATCACGACGCTTCAATCAATTCTTGAAATCCCATGGATGGAGATTGCCGTCGAGTTTGAATACTGGACAGTTGAAGCAGTTCTTTTGCCACTGGAGAGGACTTGCTCGAGCCGAAATCATTGAAATCTGCAAGCCAAAAATTTATTCGATGCAGAAATCATATGGTGGTGTATAAGAATCCATACACCTCTTTTTCTACTACATTGACTGAATAGTGAAATAGAAAAGGAGGCGAAAAATAAGTAGTCCAAGAAAACTGACCTGATTATCCCTAAGTGGTTGAGGATCGTTGGAGGCTAGCCATGGAAGCAGTCGACGATAATCTGCTAGGAGTACGATCACAACATCGAAGACAACCCTGACCAACCACAGGAGAACGACGCCACCAGCAAGTGTTTCCAGACGGATTAGTGTATCGATGTACTGGAAAGGCGTTGATCATAATCGATTTTCTTTACGAAGCTGCTCGTTCAAGGAAAAGAAAGAGGAACAGGAAGTACTCAGATATTAAAAGTACGGCCCGATCGGCGGGGAAAGTACAGTTCTTTGGAAAACGACCAAAAGAAAAGCCTAATTTCAGCACTGGCCCTCGCTGCACCCTACAAAGAGGTAGCCTATTACAAGTAAGGGTGCATAAAAACTCGCTTGTTCGCTTATTGAGAAAACTGTGCAACAACTTTGAAGTGTGCTGTTCAGATGTAAACCAGCACAACCTTGCACTTGATTGGCATAACTTTTGTAATAAGGAAAAAGCCTTGAACCAATTTTTCATGACCTTCCAAAACAATCCTAAGCAATCTGTAGGTTGGAAATGGAAAATCAAGAATGGAGCATGAAAATGTAATCGTCCGGATGAGACGTCAAAAGAAAACCACAGGATCACTAGGATGTCCTTAAAGCTCTACAAATATTTCAAGGTAATAAAGATAATCCGTGGAGCTATCATTGACTGTGATATGGGCGATATACTGGGAACAAGTGCGGCTCAAGTCTCGCGTTTCCTCGGTTACATGCCAGTACCGGGCAAAATTAAAACCATCACGAACAACCCCTTACAAGTACACGGAAAAATGAAAGGGGACGAGTTCTCAAAGCAGTCAGGGTGAAAAGTCCAAATTTAAGGGGTTCACTGTGAATTGGTATGTGAATCGCATGGTACTTTCTTCAAAGTGACGTTGCTGCATTGCACAAACGATGTTATGGGTTCTGGTCTGAAAATTGTATTGACCGCTGATCTTTTATTTCTGAAGTTTCTACAAANTTTCATGTTATACCCTGAGACAATCAGGAAGTTAACCTCTCCGATTCCCTAACAGCTACTTCGCAGATCCTCTACAGGAAGCTTGGTGAGCAACGAATTGAGAACAAAGTTGCTCTCAGGGAGCGTGCTTTAGTTCCCAACGTTCACCGAATTCTATGAGGTCAGAAAAACAGGAATCGTTAGGTACCTCAATACCACTCCAAACTCCCAAACATACCCCAACGATGTCACAATCTTTCCTCATCGAGCTCCTAATTTTGTGGTACAGGTAGACATTATGAAGTATGATTGCGGCCCCAGTGATGACCAATGTTGACACGATGACGTATAGCCCAAGATGCCCTCCAAAGTAGAAGAACCGATACATTTTCTTTTTGGTTACCTCAGGTTCGTTGTGCATTCTGGAAAACATTGAATTAGAAAACATTACTAGGCTTTGAAAAAATGCCTCACTTTTCACGATAGGCTATAGCTCTCATATTGAAAAGAACAACGACATAACAGATGAGAACAGTAATGACAGAAGCAGCGATGACGCCGATGGCCACAATCAGCAGCGGTTTCTCACAGTTTCCATAGGTGCAGACTGCAAATAAAATTAGCCGAACGATATCGAATAGAGTGCAGAGGCCGAGGGGAAAAGCAAGGCCTTGCACAAAAACAGTAGGCTGTCCCGTTACTGGCCCTTTAAGATCAATCGCTTACTGTCTTTGCTTTTTTCTGGATCTATTATAACAGCTGTAAGAGGAGCGAAAGCGGCTGCATAGAGAATTGAAACGAGCCATATCAAAGCTACTCCAGTGCTCACACGACGAAATGTGCAGATCGAAGGAAAGCCATATGGACGAGCCACGCTTATCTGAATTGAAATACCATTCGTTATGCCTACCTTCCAGCACTATATGCTTGGGAGTAGTAATAATATAATAATAACAACAATAATAGTATAATAGATAGGAATTTAGATCGCTATTTTCCATGGAACTGTTAAATTTTCTCAAGTATTTCGAAGTATCATGAAGAACGAGTAAGGAGTGCTGTGGCGGCAAGAGCGCCTATCACTACGNCGAGCCACGCTTATCTGAATTGAAATACCATTCGTTATGCCTACCTTCCAGCACTATATGCTTGGGAATAGTAATAATATAATAATAACAACAATAATAGTATAATAGATAGGAAATACAGATCGCTATTTTCCATGGAACTGTTAAATTTTCTCAAGTATTTCGAAGTATCATGAAGAACGAGTAAGGAGTGCTGTGGCGGCAAGAGCGCCTATCACTACGAGCATGATCCAAGAATCGGGTTCCGCTCGACTGACCAGTTATTTCTTCCCTCGGAGATCGGTGAATTGGTGTTTCAGACTCGTCTGAGAGGATAAACGGACTAGCACTGAATTGTACATCGACTAGCCACAGCAATTCATTGTATATGTCACGGTAACATTGAAAAAAGCGACATACTGTCGGGTATGGTGCGGGGGAGCATCTCAGAAAGGAAACTTATAACACTATAAAGTACTAGACTTCATCAAGGAGTAACTGTACCTGTCGGAGAGAAATGACGAACATATGCGAGAGAGTGAGGTGGATGAATCCAAAGGTTGCGACACACAAGAAGAGCGCAAGGATCGTGTAAGATGCCGAATATTTATTGGCCATGAACGAAGCGGCACAGAGCAACGCACACGAGAAGACATCAGCTACAGTGCGACTCAGCACAACACTGAAATCATATAAATCAGTAAAAATTTGGTGCCACCGCTTCTCCGCTTTGGGATATTTCCAAATTATCAACTGCATTTGATCAGATTATTATTGAACAACTGTGAGAGCAAATAAGCCTGGAAACGAGTTCACAGTAAGTAGCTGGATCTGTAAGAAAATTACCGAGTGACTAAAGAGTACGCTTTTCCTAGTGTCTTTTCAGCTTATCGTTTTGGCGTTTTTGGGTCTCCGAAAGAAAAGTTCAACTTCAGTCATTCGAGGTGTAATGATCCCATACTGAATGAGCGGATCCGCTTTTGATATCAGTCCTTGAGGCTGATTAGTCACAAGATGTTTAAGTTAAGCAAAACCCATCACACAAATGAAATACCAACTTTCATCCTTTTCTCTAAAGGTTCCTCGTACGCTCAATTTGTTTTCATTGCGCAAATTTCCAGGTATTCCCACAGTCTACGGGCCGAGTGTTACATACACTCCTTTGCTATAACTTCAGGAAAATCAACTTTTCAAGATTAGAATCGTATGCAAATGCAATGCTTACTAGTCTCCACGAAATGCATCCGTTCTGGCGTATTCTAGCGCGTTCACTGAACATTCAAGGATATTGCAAACCGCACTCTCTCATGCGCACGGCCACGGGATCGGATACCGTATCGATATCCGCCAAGGCCAACCAAGCCTTCCATCCCTCCGGGGTCGGCTAATGGGTACCGGACTCGTTTGGGAGAATAAAAGCACTGTCTTGTACGTTGGCTGGCCACCGCAATTCGTTGCATAGGCCACATACGCATTCAATACGCCACTACGATCCTGACTGGAAGTCGAATGCGTGGGCGCATCCCTCAGACGAGATTGATCAACGCCTCATAACTCTGTCCTTTATCCTTTTATTGCGAGGTCGAAGTAGAAATTAGGTTTTATTCTCGATGGCAAAAATAAATTCTTCTAAAGGTTGGTCCTCGAGAACACGTCCTCGAAACATGTAGTCTAGGCGCTTCAATTCATGAAACTTTGAGATTACCAAAGCAGGTCGTTTTTCTTTGAAAAACGGTCCACACCAAAGCGCTGCGAGTTCAATAGAAGTGGATTCGGCGTGGATTTTATTTGCTGTCCTTGGTCAAAGTCGAGTAGCCGTTGCGACCGTAATGTTTGCCGAGTGTCACTCGGATCTTCTTACTACATAGTCCTCCCCCCTTGGCAGCTGACACTCTCTGTAAATTTCCGGCTTGAAATTAGCGAACACAAAATGGGGTTTCATTCTGGACTTTCAAGAGCAAAGGGGCGGTACGTGAGCATTTTATTCCTGGGGGCTGAACTCATCTCATCTTAACCTCTGCTGTACCAAACTGCAGCTTCGGCCTGCAGAAAATCTTCGGAATTTCTAGGGACAGACATCGTCTGCCAGTCTTCAGTAACAAAACTTAACTACACATTGACGCGTACGGTGTTCATTCCAGTATTGAAACTGGCCATTTCAAGAAACGGAACACTAAGGCATAGCTTGTATTATAAAAAGGTGGTGACCTGTATTTTCTGGATGGAAGCCGTCGTCTGACGAGAGCGAATATGACCAATGCGCAAAGGGTGATGCATGCTATGAACGACACTATCGAGATCGCCGGTACCACATTGAGAATCGTCGATGTTGCCTGAAATCAATTTTATGAAATTTGAATCCCATTTTCGGGAAATGGAGCAACAAAAAAACATCGTTACGCGGATGTAGGTTGCGGTGCTTATGCTCATGTGGTGGGCTATGGCACGGGAACTGCTACTTCCATTATGAGGATCAGCTTGAGAAGTGGGGTGAATGGACGGCCCGATGGGATTACCTTTCATAAAGTGACATGATAAAATGATGGAAAAAATTGGAAGCAATCCGACGAACCATCTATAATAGGGAAATTCGCTTAATTTTCATAGAATGTCGATAAATTCAAAGAAAACCCTGGCTTCTGCCATGAAAAAAGAACTAGACGAAGTCGACTCAATCAAGGGAGCTGAAAAAAAGAAGTTGGTAGCCGGGCGGAAAATGGGGGGGGGGGGGGGGGGGGGGGGGGGGGGGGNGGTGTGGTGGGGTAGGTACAATTTTACCCTTACATTTGAAACAACCTGGGAAGGTTTTATGAAAGCAATTCGAGTGGCAAACAAGCTGCAAAGATTACTGTCACTCCAGTGAAATAAGGTATGCTTAAACAAACAGGGCTATAAGTCGGCAAGATTGCCAGAAATTTGTACATGCAGAGATGCGATGAAAATGGCAATCCGGAGCATTTGCCGCGGGGAAGTTTGAGCCCTTCTTTCCAGAGCGATCACCCTTACCAACCAGTATGTACACATAACATTCATAAGCCGTTTACTGTAACATCAACAAAGTGTTTACAGAGAAGAGAATACGTCAGTATTTTGCTTGAGTCACCAGCTTTGCAGCAAGTGATTCTCCAACTAGGATTAGAAGAAATCATTGCAGAAGCCCATCGTTTTCCTCGGGATAGTTTATTCTCAAACCGAATCAAATGGCTAAGCTAAATTTTCATAACATTGGGAAATTGGAATTGGAACGAGTATATATATTCACATAGCACGTTGCTCATAAAACTCAGTAAAAGTCAATAATCAGCTTGAAAACTAAAAATAAGAAGATATTTGGAAAATGAGTGAGAAATTTGGGAAAATGCAACTGCATGACTGTAGAAGCCCATCACGGAACAAGATTGCCCTTTGGAATGTGGCTGTGGAGTCAAAGGATGTAAGAGGACACCCGAAGGCGCTGTTGACGATAAACAGCTGATGCAAGTGCACAGGATCGTTACTCTTGGTCAAAACAGTTTAGAGCTGACAAATGGGCTACTTTCAGCACAACTGGGCGTGAATTGTGTTGAAGAATGCGTTGAGCAATAGTCTTCAGTTTCGAACTAGTACATATGATTGTGAAAGGTTGCAATAAATGACGGAGGACCAAAACACAGGAGTTATATCAGGAAAGCATGGAAAACGATGATACATTGCTTTAACATCCATGGTTGAGGGCTATCGAAAGAATAAGTTTAACGATTTTCCTTCCTTCCAAGATTAGATGCAAAAGCGCTGGCCTCATGTCGTCGATTGTCGACGGACCAATTCGTTCAATATTTCTTGGATGGTCTTTTGACCATACCCACTTCCACCTTTCATCAAATATTCTGTGCTGCAAATAAGATTGAAGACAGACAAAGAAGAGATGCACTTTCTAAAGGAGCAAAAAATGGCCTAAGTAAGGGTCGAAGAAATGCGAAAGTTGAGTTCTGTCCTTCAAAAAATTAAAGTTTGAAGCGGTGCAGACGATGACAAGGTACGTAGTCAGTAAGGAGAACTGAAAGGGGTCGCTCAAGCAGTGTACGTTACTGTTCAAAGATCCAGTACATGTTTATTTGCATGCCAGAAACGAAGGGTATATTGAGGTGCGATCGCACCAATATTTCCGTACCCGGGGATTGAGCAGTCTATCTGAAAAAGGATAAGGATCAAAACCTTGTGAACTGCCTTTTTTTTTTCTCAGTAATGGTCCGGTTGAATGTGATCCTGATTTCGAGGGATCGCTACTAGTGTGGAAGGATCATGTCGCATACTGGAATGATGGGATGTTCTCATGAATTTGACAGCATCTTGATCGAAAATTACAATCAAATGATCAAGATTTTCACTTGTAATGGCAACATGTGGAAGATTGGGCATATACCATGTTGACTGAGCAAATCAGAGAATGGAAGCTTTGAAAAACTTCTAGGGGAACCCGGAACCTATATAACGAACGAGTAGTTTGATTTCTACTTCATGCGGCCTCCAGTAATTCTACATACAACAGAAGTGAAAAGTGAAATTGAAGTGAAAGAAGAAGTGAAATTGCAAAATGAAATCGAATGAAACCAGCATTTCATTTGGAGTTTGGAGTGGCTCACTTCACTTCAGTGGAGCTCCAGTTGGTAATATGCTTGGCCAGACTCCAGAATGCGACTTAATAGATGGAAGTCTTCTACGATAGGTCGGCGCTGCCAGAAGAATAAAGTTGAACATGCCGTCTGAGCCTTTCTAGGTATCAGCTGTGAACCAGCAGGTATGCTGATACTGCGGTTAACGCAGAAATAGGATTCAGACATCAGGCTATGGCTAAGATATGTGAGCATAAGACAATTTTTGAAGTCAATCTTTGCTTCAACACATTTGCTACGGGTAAAGCAACTGTCATGCTCAAGACAGTTTAGATTTGACGACTCTCAAGAAAATGAACTGCACCTGATTGATCTTCTCCTTTCTGTGTATGGCGTCACGGAACTTATCTGTGTCGAGGTTGATCGCGCATAGCAATGAAAGTGCTTCAAACGACGCCATCAGATGCTCATTGCGAAGGTTCGTGACGTGGCGGAGGCTAAACGCTGATCGGTTTGACCACAATGAATCTCAGCGATTATCAATGGGCGAGTTCTCATGGAGAATAGAAGGGGAACAGGGACAAAACGGCATTCATACATACAGTCAAGCGAATTGAAAACGAGTGAGAGTGAGCCCTAGAGAACGCGAAACTGGTTTCTATGTAAATCATCTGCCTCCACATCGTCCAAACATCAGTGATGAGCCCAACAACGGTTTTAGAAAAGTAGTTGTGAAAACAGTAATGAAAATGAGATAGTGAGACAGGTCTAATCAGTAAACGTGTGCAAGAAATACGTCTAAAGGGGTGTGCTAGGGTGTCCTGGACTGTCCGGGCGTCGGAAAGGAGGTGGCGCGGTCGTGCGTGGTCGAGAAGACAAATAGGGAAGGCCCGAGTCGAAGTGAGCAAATAATTCGTTTGATGGGATCCGAGCGCTTTTCTGCTAAGTCATTTGCGAACGTCACTGGTCATGGCTAGGTGTGGGTAAATATTCAGCAGTGAAGACTACTTCAGCCAATACCCGGATAAGACTATCATCGAAGCTTATTGGCCGACTGTCAGCCAACATCCAATCCTTAAACTTTGCACCGAAATGAAGGAGGGATACGGGAACAGCTGCTGACCACCACCTTTTGCAAGGAAGTCGTAAAATATGCGGATGGGGTGAGCTAGACCTACAATTTTTCGCGCTTGCTTGGCTTGGAAGCGATAATTCCGGCAAAAAAGAATGGGGAATTTCTTTGTTAATATATCATTCGATTAAGGTCCGGCCAAAAGGTTGAAGTTGAAAATTCAAGCAACCGGCCGTGACCTGAGGCGACATCGGAAGTCAATTGGGCATTTTTCGTTCACTGTAGCTAGCTCCACCCCACAGCACGCGACTGACAGTTCTCGTAATACCCCTCCAATCACACTCTCGTCGTCATAATCTTGTTCTTGTACATCACCTTTCTTACTGTTCTAAACCTTTCTCCTTTAACTTCACCGACTTCGGCTCTATTTTTGCTACTTTTGCACTATTATACACCACAAACGATAAAGTAATAAAGTATTTATATTTGTGCACTGATCAATCCCGTAAGAGGTATGCGCCTCCGCGTTTGACTTTCATCCAAAATCGTAGTGGTGTTTCGGATGCGTATTTGGCTCATACAATGACTCGTAGTGACCAGCCAATGTATAACACAAGTCATTACTTTTATATATAGTCATTTTTCCAGACAAGTCCGGTACCATTTGAGCGACCATTGAGAAATGGAAGGTTTGGTTGGCCGGTATTCCCGTAACCATGAATGTGTGATACACATGCGCCTTTTGCCTTTACCTATTTCCTCCCTATTCTGCACAATAACTTCCTTTATTTGTCTTGAATTTGGTATCGCATGATTATCATGAACTAAGCCCTCAGAGCTATTTATGCAATACCCAAAATGTAGAAGTCGGTCAAATAATTGTGGGTGTATACTTTAGGGCTAAAAGGGGAAGTGATAGTCAAGAATAATGCAAAAAAGGCGAAGAAAGCGTAAAAATCGGCGTATTGAGGGAAACATGAGGCTTCAAAAAAGAAGTAAATTCAGGTGTAGAACGAGAGTGTTACGAAAAGAGCTGCATGGGAGGGGTATTTCTACGAACTATCCAAGTGCGGGCGCCATTACATATAGCTATGCTGTAAACTACCTGCGTGTAAGGTATGAGTCTCGTTGCGAATGGTGCAACCTTTACAGTTTTTGTAATGCCTGAGAACTCGTCCGCCTTGGATCTGTGCGTCGGCTTACAGACGGTTCTGGGGCCCTTACAAAAGAAAATGATCCGGTCGAAACGTTAGGCCGTCGAATAAATAAGTAGTTCACCTAAAAACGTCGCAAAGCACAAGAGTATTTCCATCGCAAACAGTATTCAGTACCAGTTAGTCTGTGCACACTAACATTTTCATCACAGCAACGAACACATCAAACAGAGTTATGAATTTTTCGATCTAATTGAGAGCTTTACCTCTCGAGAATCTGGCTAGAGGCCGTAAACGACTCAAATTATGGATTCATGCGGAAAGTGCAGCCTATTGTAAGAATTTTGGCCCTCCGCTAGTGGCTGTCCTTTCATTTTTTTGACCCATTTCTCGCTTGTGCTCATTTTTCTCGGTATCTAGGCTGTTTTGAACTGGGAGGTTTTGCCCTTTGCACCGTCCTTTCCGTGGCGATTTTCGTCTCCATCTATGGAGCTCCGCCACGTTCACATGTGCTGTTTTCATCTTGCCCTATGACACACCCAAACCAAACTGAGTAACGGTACGGAACGGAAAGCATCAAAGTGCATCCTATGTATTCTAGGGACAAAGACATGGAGCAGGTGGTTGAGTACCGAGGTAGCATTCAGGTGATATAAGATTTCATGACAAGTAGACCCACAAGCGCGAACCCTACACATATCGTAAGTAATGATTATGACTTGGTTTAGTGAGTAATGACTATGAATGACTCTTGAACTTTTTTGAACCGAGCTGTTGCTTTGTACCGGCCTTTCTATGAGATCTAACCATTTTTTTCGTTCTAAGATACTTTTAAAGAATAATGAGTTTCAATCCTAGCCTACCTCGTTACGAACCCCGCCCACTTTGAGGATTCCACTACATTCTTGATTTTCAAACACTTTCCTCGTGGTTCTAGGACGTTTCTAACAGTGTTGTGGTTTTCTGCAGACAAGACCTGCATATTTTTATGCACACTCCGCCTATCATAGGCGGAGTTTAGTCTAAGTACATACGCATGCCGGCTCGTATTAGACTTTATTCACACCTTCGATTTTTTAACTCCGTGCTCTCGTTGAATTGGATTATGAATTAACGTGGAACACAGTACACTATGAGAACGCTCCGCCCAACGCTGATAGGTCTTTATTTCCTCCGTCATTCGATGTTCCACTCCTCACCTGTGCTATGTAATTTTTTCGACAATCCGGCTGTTATGAAACTAAAATTAGGAGTTTCTGCTCATGGCACCGTCTGTTCCTTTGCACGCCCCATTAACGCTTACAGAGCTTCGCTGAGCTCAAATGTGCTCTACTGATCTTGCCACAAGAACAAGGCGTTCCCTCACCAGACTTCTCCAACACCTTCGTCATGTGATTTAGAGTTTCGAGACAGACAGACACACAGGCAGACGCGAGTGTGATATAGTTAGGACGGTTCTCTTTCCGAAACTGTTTCGTAAGTTTCCCTACGAGATTCTATGCTTTCAGTTCTTGTTGATGTACCTCATTCGTCCGCGCTGTAAAGCAGTATGTTATGCCTCAATGATAACTACAATGAGCTTGAATTCTAGGCTTACGAGTTGGAAGGTCATGCAGGCTAATAATTACTCGAACCGCCAACTATGAAATTCAACTCATACTTCCCCTTGGACGTAATCAACATTGTAGCTTTAACTAAAGCACCGCCTCTTATAAGCATTCTGTGTAATACTCGGCTGTCAGCCATTTCCTATCGTTTTCCCTTCAATTTTTTTTGTCCGTTGGAAATACGATGAGCCACGGCTTGCATTCGAACATTTCTTCTTGACACATCGTCCAGCGTTATTCGTCGTAGCGCCCTCTTCTTCTTCTCCCTAAGCTTAATCCTGCGCGGTCGGATGACCCGTTAGAGTAGTGTCTCTGTATACCACGCAAACATCCTAAGCAGCTTTTACGATGTTGGTACCCTCATCGAAGGCCAAGAGCGAAGGTTTACGGAAGCGACCCCTATTTGTTATTTGAAGTTTTCTGATTCATAATGCAAACTGTGATTCAACCTAAAATAAAATAAAAATAAAAATGAAGCGCATATTCGAATAGTATTAAAAACAACTTTTAGAGAAACGGATTTAAACGATGAAAAAATTAGAAGCCAAATCTTTCGGGAAACCCATTCTGTGGTTCGGGAAACCCCAACGACAACGCTGGTCATACAACAAACTGGAGAGATGCTCAAAAGTGGGAAATCCCAGTTGCATACGGCAAAATCTGAAATCATAATCCTATGGGGAAGTTCCAGCTTGAGGATTCCGACATTTCCAAACCTTAACATCAAGAATATTTGGGGAAGGATGATTGCCGGAAATCCCCATTTCCTGCGTAGCGTCACTATTCTCATTTGTAAAGCAATTCGTATTTTAAAGCATTTTATTACTTCGCAAGCATTGCACGTAATTATAATATCCCCATTTCCTGCGTAGCGCCACTGTTCCCATTTGAAAAGCAATTCGTATTTTAAAGCATTTTATTACTTCGCAAGCATTGCACGTAATTATAATAGAATACCTCTTTTATACAAATCATCTACTAGATCTATCAAATAGTCAGAGAACAACATATATGGCAAACAGACTGAGCATGAAATACAATGTTTCCAGCCACGTTACACATTCGAAGAAAAAAAACAGCGACCCTCTCAACTAATAAAGCCTTGACCATATGCAAATACAGTATAGAAGTGTAGAGAAGAAGATTGATAACAAAGGCACAGAAAGGGCAAGACGTAATATGCATTATGATCCAAAGGATGGGGTTTGTTCCATCTATGGCTCGATCGCAAACGGTGAGCCGGGAATCTCCTGAAATATCAACACGATTAATATAGTTTTAACATATTCAACATCTTTATTGCTCCGCCCTGTCGCGTTAGCTCAAGAAATAACCATAGTAACGAATTCTTTGCCCCTACGGGTCCAAACTTAGTGACACATAGAAAAAAAGAAAGCGTAGAAGCGTTCAGGTACTTGACTATTCAACCCGCGGAACAATATGGAAAGAGACTATCTAATACGTGTTTTCAGTTCCCTGGAGACGTTCCCTGAACAATTTCTTTCCCTAAATATTTCATCTGTTCATTTCAACAATATCAGGTATGACAAACAAAAATATGGAGGAATTTCCCAGCTTTTCTTCTACACAACAGAACTACACTCGTCTTCCCCTAGTTTTAGTCGGAAATGATAGTACTTCCACTATCATTGCGAGCGAATTCGGAAAAAGATCTCTGATGTTCATGCTTCTCACTTATTGAGAACTCCCTTGAGTAACTAGGAATGGGAAGGGTACGCATTCCAAGAACAACTTTGCTAACAGGTTGCCCATCAGGTGATGCGAAAAGTAGCTGTGAAAGGGACAGTTCAAGATAAAAGTTATCTCTGAGATTCGTCCCTACAATGAACCTTTGGAAACCAAAGGAAGCGCCAGGGCTGTTGGATCAAAAAACGGCCCATATCAGCCGACACTCAGAAGGTGGACGAGTTGTCACGGCGTTATAGAGGCAGTAGGGTTGCACCATTCGCATCAAGACGCATGCATTGCACACACGCGGCTTACTAATTGCTAATTGACATACACACATCTAGACAGCTCATACAAGTACCTCTTCCATGCAACTTTTGTCCTAACAATCTCGTCCAACCTCCAATTTTCTATTTTTTAAATCTTCATATTTCTCTAGATTAGACTTTTTTCATGCTTTCTTCGCTACTTTTGCACTATTCCAATTGTTATACCGCCTTCAGTATCATCGAGAAACTCGCAGGTCACGGTTCTGTTGTGGTGTGAGCACGTTAGTTAGAAAGGGACGACAGTTGCAACCCCCATAGCATGATCCCCGGCTGGGCAACTGTCTACGAGCATGTGCGGATCAAGTTACCACAACGCACCCACTGTTGTATGTTATTTTCATGGGAAGATTGGAAAGGAAACTTTGTGAAGATGTCAGTTAGGCAATTCACGCCTAAACCATTCTCTACGAAACTAGACCGAGGAAGAATGAAAAGGACAAACCTCGTCGCCGTATTTGATGAAAATAAAGCCTTTTACACGATCTGGTACTTTGTATGTGACAATGTAGTGGCCGCTGCCTTGATGCTTCACAACAACTTCTTCACAGGGTCCCTTTGTTGTCACTACTCCTACCATTAGAATATTAGGTCCTTAAAAAGACAAAATAAGAACAACCGACTCTGTAATTTGGTTAATTTTGTATCGCAGTTGAAAGACCAACAATTTGGTTCCCTTTCTTACCTGCTAATGCAGTATCAATTGAAAACGTTGCAGGTCTGCCAGGGAAGAATTTGTTCAAGCCAGCGCCTTTTGCTTCCACCTTAAACTTATACTGAAAAGGCGAAAACAACAGAAAAAATATTCAGCCACTGACCTTGGAAGCGTCTCCTTTGTATTCAGGGACCGTAGCAACAGTTCCTTTGCTGCTTTTCGCCACAGCATCGATTTTTACGAATGAAGTCTCGTTGTAACCGACTCCTCCTAGGACTTTTCCATCGACGGGAATTTTGTATGGTGATCCGGGGATGTGTACTCCTAAATGATTAGAAAATCCGCTTCATCGAATACGATCAAAGCCATGGTTTATGCTGTCTGTCTGATACACTTCATAACTTGGCTAAGGCGACGAGAAACACAAGTCCAACCAGAAATACATTGTTGTAGGCAATTTGCATAATTACAGGGCCCACGAAACAAAAATAGGAACGTAGAAAGACATTTTCAACAAACTGTCCGAAAGTGATCTCCTATACAGCAAGTGATCAGCACATGTGAGTGGCGTAGACACGAAGTAATCGACACTTGTAAGGAAACTGAACAAAAAGCCATGACGCACCGTTATACTTGATGGCAGCATAGTAGTCTCCTGGGGCCAATGGAGTATAGCGAACTTTGTAGCCAAGTTCGAGCTACAAATGTGAAATCGTCAACTCCTGTCAAATGTTAGCTGACATTGAAAATGAAACATTACAAAACAGGGCATCTTCAGAAAATTCTATCCCTCGATCGGTGCAGGTATTTCAAAGCATTAAAATAATTGTGCAAACAATTTAAAAGATTTTCGAAGGTTGCATGTAAGTGCGTGATACATATGGGATAGAAGCAGCACTTAATGTAGCAACTATGAAGGAAACGAAATACGAACTATCCCCGTTATTGGGCGTCTTTCATATTATTAATATGTGCTCTGATTTTCAGCTACTCTGATCAAGCCCTCATTTATAGCTGAGAGATTATAAGATAACTAGAGGAAAAGACAAGGGGGCAAAGGATGATGCTTTGAATTATACCTAATCATAGGAAATAGCGATTCACTGATTCTCTATCTATCAGATGATTGCAGTTCGCTCAGATGTCTAAGTCAATTGATCTGAGAGAACCGTTGCACGAAAAGGTCCCCAGCAAAGTTAGTTACCCCTAACAGGAATCTCGCACAGCCATACATTGGCAAAATACGAATCAGGACAACTATACCGACTTCGTATGCGTCCAGTGTCGCTTTGCTCGGTCCATCCAATTGCACCGTGAGTGTTCCAGCACCAGCATTCGATGTAGTGACGATGAATTCGCATTTCTAAGCGCAAAGCAATAACAAAGAAAACAGTCGGGTATGACCACAGGTGAAAGCAAAAGTACCTGTCCAGTGGAGCCTTTCTTGATGCCATCACCGGTGACACTGATAGCTGTTGGATCACACTGATCACGTCCTCCGACTCTCAAACGGAATGGCGAATCCCTCATTGGAGCACCGTCCAGCGTCACGTGAATGTAGTGATTACCACTCTTAAATTCCTTTCCCATAATACAGAACTCTTTCGGGAAGAAAGTTGGGATTTCTGACCTCCTTCGGGAGGAATCGCATAGCATAGCTTTCACCATCCTCAATTGGGACAATGTCGATCGTCTCAATTTCGTTGCTCGGCGTGACTACCTTAACCAGTTCACCGTCATTGGGATTGGGCAGCGAATAAAGCAAGATATTCAGTGTGAACAACCTTTGCTTCGAGATGTCCATTGGCACGATGGGTGAGCACAGTAAATGTGAATGCTTTTCCGGCAGGGATTCCTTGATCATGGAACTGTGCCAACTCCAACTTACGAACCTCACCAGTAGCGGGTGCAATGAATACCTGAGAAAAAACTGATTACTTTAAAAATTACTAAAGAAGACCTAAACATGGAAACAGCGCACTTTGAACGGAGAATCCGGGATATGTTGGTCGTTGAACTTGATTGCAACCAAATACTCTCCAGGCTGAGCGACCTTGTACTTTACATGACAATTACCGTCCTGAAATTCCGAAAATTACGCTGGATTTTCAGAAGATTTCTGAATTCGAACTGTTTCAGTCCTCAAAACGTAGATTAAAAATGCTTCATGTAGAGGTCGCTGCAAGGTAGTGAGAGAAACAAGGCTGCAATAGAGATCAGCTTTTCGTACGGTTACTGGAGCTATTTTGGGATGAGTCACTTTGTGCTTTCATAATTATTACTTACATTTTGAATTGATATGTCCAGCTATCTACGGTAGTTAAGTTCATTCAACGACTACCTCTTGCTTAGCGAAGCTTTTCGCCACCACATGCTTGCCTTTAGAACCTGCGCTCCATGGCTCCGTGAAAATTTTCAGCAGCACTTAGCATTTACAACCTCGAATCCACGCCGCCCCACCGCACGCACACAAACACCCTCACCTTCATTGTTTTTTTATGAGGACCAATTGCATTGAATTCCCTTGAGTCATCACAATTACACCTACTTCAAAAACTTCTTGTTATTCCCCATTATATTTTTGCGCCTCTTGCCCATTCTCGGAGTACCATGATCCTTTATTTTGTTCCCCGTTATTACCCACACTGCCAAAATGCTATCGCGGTCATACATGTTATACTATATACTATGTTATACTATGTTATACTAGAATGTCTTCCCTGTTGCGCTCATACAAAAATTGAATTGAATACTAGTAGGAACGTACACATGTTTACCACTAAAATTACGTAGTCTGTAAACGGTCTCAATCCTTACTCAGACCACGAGGCTTTGCCCTGATCATTTAGCACTTCGAGTGAATAAACAGACATAAGCACAACCGATTACGATGATGGAAGCGCAATAACATCAAAAAATAACTGTAGACCGCAATAACTTGCAGAAGTTTCTTACAGCCTACACGGGTTCGGTCATCCAAGAGCTCTCCTACACGCTGCAAATCATAGTACACCTTGAGTAATCAATACTTTTACCGTTCACCAACGTTGGAGTGTGTTGTAAATTTTCTAAACTATAAAAAATAGCATTGGGACCGTTCGAGTAGACCTTCTTAGCAATATGTCACTAGCTTCAGCAGATCTTTCGCCACATATACATATAGGCATACACATATCCCATATAGGCATACACATATCCGATAAATTCACCCATAACACTGGATCATAAAAGTTTCCACTGTTATCATTGAGCACCGAAATGACACCGAGATGAAATTCAGTGACTTGGTCATGTTTCAAGCAGCACTCCCAGCATCCTCCCTTTCTAATGATTTCTACAACAGTGCCCAGTTGTACATGATCACTTTTGAAAATCAAATGTTCCTGCCCGATGTCGATTAAGGAAATCAGTGCCTATTTCGTGCGTGTTTGGTGCGATCTTTCTGGTAGCAGCTCATAGATCAGTTCCAACCTCTTGTAGCTCACATGCCACCCGAAGCGGACGAATATTACCGTGCACTCATTACTAAAGAACATTACAATCTCATGAAAAAATTCGGTGCGACGGCTTGAAACATTGAATGTTAATTAGGGAAGGACAACTCGAACAAGACTTTCCTCTCCGCTCACACCATATATAAGCTGAAATGGTAATACAACCTGAGATCACGCGGCACAACCTGACATTCACGACAGTTCCCCATCCGTTTAGCTTTGAAAACGAAACAGCCCAGTGATTATTTCATCGAAAGTGATTGCCTGCTTGTAATAACGCGGATATGCGTGAGCGGCATAAGTCAATGTTGTTCCGACAAATATTATGTGCCTAGGAACAAGATCAGGTGTCAACCTCTTCACAGGACAATGATCTTAAAAGAAAGCAGGAAATACTTCGAGCCAGGACACGCCTGGAACATCTTAAGCTCAACGACCCAACAAAAAGTAGTTATTCGTGCAATCGAGTTCTGTTTCGTACGCCGCTTTGTGAGGCGAGTTAAGGCATACATTATATGTGCATGTATCATTCCTAGATGCTTCGTAATACAGTTCTTCTGGCAAGTTGTCTCAAGAAATTTGCGCAGATAGTTTTGATAGAATAGCGGGAAGGAGCTCCTGTCACTAGGGGAACTTCCCCTCGAATCTGCTAAGCTCTCACGAAGATGTAAGTATGGAAAGGTTTCTCGTGGTGAACCTGTCGGCTATGAAATGAGGCGAATTACCTTGTGAAAAATTGTGCTATTAAAGTGAAAAATCCAAGGACTACAGCGTAGTGAAGTATTGATAACCACAAGATGCGCGACTCTTTTTTTTTGTCTTACCACTCATTTCTCATCGGTTTGAGCAGGAATATCGATATAATACAAAAATAAAAGGATCGTGCTAACGTATACTGCTGAAACCGATTCTACGGCGAAGAATACCTTATGTTCTTGGAATTCCATTTGTGGTTTGCTCGGCCCTTCCATTGATACAACCAAATTGCCAGGTCCTGCTTCACGAGTGTAAATGTTGAAGGTTTGTGGAGAGTTGGTCTCACCGCGAACAACTCCTTGCCCTGATGCTCTCACCTGGACAAAAGATGTTGAGACATACTTTGTGCAAATAGAAAGTTGAAGGGAATGAACGCACTTTGTGAGCTCCTCCTTCTGCGAACGGACCAACAGTGAATTGGAAAGGTGAACCATAGATGTGAGCATCTTTGTTTAAGATCGACAAATGGTGCAAACCTTCCATTTTAGGGAACCACCTAAACAACACAGGTTAAAGATATTCAAAGAAATTCAATCGCACCGCTGGTAAAAAAAATGGCGTGCTTGAAGAATTGCTTGAAGAATTGTACGAACAAGAAGGTACGTTCAGAAAGAGCATTTCAGATGAAGGCAGCTGAGTTCCAGATCGCTCCGTCGATTGTCATAGGAGCTCATAATTATGTAGTTAAGTGGTGAAGAAGGGGTCTCGCTAAGCCCGATAACTCTACTTCATTGAAAAGCCAGACATTCAGTGTTTGATATGCTATTGGCCATGTGTATTATTATTACACAAGCCAAAAGCGTGTTTATAGATGAATTCAGTACCAAATGTTCTGCCCCAGAAGAAATTGAACTTGAAATCGAACGAACGCAAATCCCTTTTCTTTCACTTCGATTCTTACATCAAGCCTTCGATGACATCTTGCAATTTCGGGAGTCAAACCCTGAAAAAATCACGAACCTAATTTGGAAGAACTGATCTCCCATATCTCGCATTTCAACATCTTCGGTGCGTCCTTTCGGATCAAGGATTTTTGCGCAGCTGTCCATTGGAGTGACATTCGGCAACTTCAAAAATAGGACCGCTTCCTTCCCGACTAGAGACAGTCCAGCCTGAAAATGTTCTCATGACCACGTGCAAACCTTAATCGTACCGTAATATTTTGTTCCACCTGTTCAGCTTTTCGAGAAATTTCTTCCTGCTTTCTTCCTGCACCTTTTCCTGTGCACTGCACCGTGAACGGGCTGTCTGAAAAGAATCTTTATGAGATACCTTACAACCTTAAGCTTAATGGTCTAATCAGCGCACACACACACTTTTATTAATTACGCTTGAATCGTTACTTCTGACTTTCATGGTTTTAATTGCTGCGGTTCAACTATATACCACAATACACTTTCGACCTTTTCTCCATTCTTCACTTCAGAGGCTTTTTCATAGACAAGTATGAACGGAAACCTTTGACCAACATGTTTTCCATTACATAAGCGAGCCGTCTCTCTCACATTAAACATTCGAAAATCCTGAGTCTTACAATGAAGCTTTGGTCTCCGTTATGAACATTTGTGCTTTCACAACTCATATCCTCCCCACTCAAGCCCAGCCGTGCTAGGACACTTCTATAGTTGAGCAGCGGTGTAGCAACTATGGTCAGACTTCAGAGGTGTGGGGCGGGAGGCTCCTTTGCGGTATGTCACCATGGTCGCAACGACCCTTTCGCTTTTTGCGGAGTCCAGGGTTAAAGATCAAAAGCCTTGGATATTTGCAGGAGACCGAGGCCACGAACGAATGGGCCAGCTCCGATAGGATGACAAATTAGGCCTATCTCCTTGTGACTGCAAGTAGACGCTGCCAATAGCCTCTTCTCTCTAGGATTCCTTTTCCACAGAAGTCGAAATATTCGACTACAGGTGCTCTTTGATTAAATCCTAGTATGTTAAGATTTTCGAGTCTAGAATCTCACACATGATTCTTATTTTACGTTCTTTATCATGAACCTACTTGGCGGCGAATTTTCGACACAATTTTGTAGTATGTAAGGGGAACTGCCGCCTTTTACAAACTGGCACAACGGGCTTTTGAAAAACAAGTACTGAGAGGTTATCAACGTCCCAAAGGTAGCAAAACAATGTGTAGCTCCATACTATTCACCTCGAATTTAAAAATTTCCAGAAAACCGTGAAAGTCCATCATAATTGTGTTGACCCCACGTCTTAGTGGCGGAGGCGGTTTGGATAAACTTTGATTAATTCAAAGAATGAGACCACTATGTCGAGCTGAACTGGGATCCCTGATTCTCAGGTTCTAGGAACTTGCTAGTAATCAAAATTTTGATAAAATAAAGCTCAAAACCTTGTACCTCCAAGTAGAAAAGGAGCCTTTCAAAACAAAACCGTTTATGCCCCAATGTTTGGACACTTTTAGATGAAACAATAGATTCTAAGGAGTACACGTCACTCGTGACTGAGGCGTTGGACAACAACTTGCTGCACAGGAAAAGAGGACCTTTACGATCATTCCCCTTGCTTCAGAGCTTCTTGAAGGAGCCTCAGATTCTTGCACATTAATGGAAAAGTGAAACGTCTACTTGGAACTTGATAAGGAGTTTAAATCAACAAAATCACGCTCTTTCTCCCTCGGCAGCACAGATCCCATTTAGAATTCCACTTTTTATTCAACCTCGATTTTGACCAGCCTTCGGTTAATCGGAGAATACACGCTTGATAAGGGGTGGTCTCTTTTTATAATAATTGTGCGATCCCCTTCTTTTAGATGTTCTTACCTAAACTCCCTTGGCTTTTCTTCGCGTTCCTCTCTTCCCCACAACCAGCTACCATTGTTTTCACCCCCGTCTCGCTGCAGGGTGCATCGCTCTAATCGTTGATGGGAGCAAATTATGTTTTGCTTTCAATCAATCCAGGTCATTACACCCAGCGAGGTAAGGAGGCCTCCAAAAAAAAAATTCTGTCGACTTTTAGATGGCAAACGCGAATCGACTCTTCGAAGTCACCTCTGTTACTACTTAGAAGCTCGCAGGCACATATGTACTAGTTAATTTCTGAGGAAGAATGAATCAAGAAAAACGGTAAGATGAGTACTTAAGGGATGAGCCAACAAAATAAATAAAAATCGTACGAGTTACTAACCTTTCACATGATTATCTGCAAATTTGACTGCTACGACGTAAACTCCTGGTTCCGTTGGCTTGTAGAGTACCTTTATTAGTCCGGCCTTTACCTCTTTACAACTGAGTTCTGCCTTTGATGGACCTTGCACAGACACAGACAATCCGCCATATCCTACAATTCACATATTTATTGAAAGAATGCTTCTATTAAACTGCCATCGCAGTGCCCGTGAGCGAAGACAGCAAACACAATAAAAAACAAATAACAGTTGTCGAGCACGTGAGAAACGACATATTCTCACTGAACAACCCGAGAATACATCTAAATAAATAAGCCACACCAGCGCATTAAGAAACCTTCGGAGAAAAAAAACCAACCTGCTTTACTAGTATCAATGAGAATCTCATTCTCTTTCATACACTCAGCGCTCTTCTTGCCTGGTCCACTAACTTCAACCCTGCTTGCATCTCCTACTTGCGACTTGTCCACCTTGAATAAAAAATAATCTAGCAACGGATATCAGAGGTTGCCTTATGCTGCAGCTTGCCTTGATTTTGAAAGGTGCTTTTGGCAATAGTTTTCCATCCCTCTTTACAGAAATGAGATGCTCGCCCGATTCACGAGGTGTGAAAGAAACACCTGGAAAACATCAATTCCTATATTTTTTATGGGCAATAAACGAAAGTGATATGACTGCTTTATATGAGGTTTCATGTCAAAGAGTCAGACCTGCAATGGCTATAATAAATATTAAAAATTACCGAGTCGTCCTCCTTCGATGAGACGAACAAAGCATGGTTCCTCAATACCGGATGGCGACTTGATTGAAGCAGAAATACCTTTCAACTCCGAATGACTAATATTCAAGGCCACTTCTGAAGTCGAGCCAACAGACAGGTGAGCACGTTTCTGAAAAAAAAAATGAATGAAAATCCATTCTTGGCGGCTCAATGTAGACATTTTTCGAAATACTTTTAGGGTTGAACTAGAATAGTTAATGAAAAACAAAACTCATTATTCCCCAAAGATGTTCAACAGTTATAAAGAACGCGTGTTGGACCTTAAGAGCAAGAAAAGGAGAAGGTGGATGAGTCAATTGCATTACTTGTGTTTTTGTTGAGACCAAGGAGAAGTGTAGGAACCGTCGGACTAATCTGAGTTTTAACCTTGCGGGAAGGTAGGACGAAAATAATATGCGAGAACTGGTCCTCTTCAATAAAAACTCCGCCAATTAACTTGAAATTGAGCAGAACAATTGACGTTTTTCAAGTAGAATTTTGGTATCTGAGTATTGAGTTGGCAAGGCTCCATTATCGATGTCTGGGGAACTTGTTTAAATTTGAGAACAATAGCTCCTCTCTGCTTCTGGTGGCAAAACGGAAGAGGAAGAAAGGAAACCTCTGAACGTGACTGTATTTTAAGGATGATGAACCTCAGAGCACCGGAAACGAGTCGTAGTGATCCCATCGTTGGACGTGAACAAGAAGCTAAGGGTGGGTATGATCAGCAATGGTATCTTTGTTGCCCCTAACTCCTGCGCATGTCCTAAGTAGTCTGAAAATGACACTTAGCACTTTATCGATTTATCCGTGTCACTCTATGATGTAAATGACAGCTTTCAAGAGTTTCTGGATGTCACTTTACACAGAACAGAAAAGGCCCACCTGTCCTTCACCTGCAACCAAAACGTGGAATGGCGAATCATGAACTTCTTTCCCACCAAGCTTCACATGAACCTTGTATTCTCCTGGAACTGGGGGAACCCACGTTACGGAGCACGTGCCATCCTGAAGTGGAAATCATTGAAATTTTTCTGAAGAGGCCATAAAAGGGATCTAAAAAGTGGAGGGAAATGGGAATTTTCAGGAGCAGGAGTTATACGTCAAAAAATTGTTCATGACCACCTTGTTGTCGTGAATCTTTATCCTGCTCTGTGCGGGTCCTTCGATGCTCACAGACAGCTCTTTTGCTGCAGTTCCTTTCGCGCACACGGTGAAGGCAGCCGGCTCGCCCACGATCGAATTCTGTAGCCCGGGCCCGTAGACGGTGGCATATCCACCATCATAGCTGTCAACGTAAAAACGAAGCGGACTTCCCTAAAAAGAATAGGGAGCATTTGCAACACATCAGAAGTTGCAAGAAAAAAAATTACCGCAATATGAGCTCCGTCCTGAACGATAGCCAACTCATGGGAGCCATGCTTCTTTGGCACATATTTCACTTGAATCGTTCCTGAAGAAGTCCAAATAAATATGGTAACCTACACGTGAGACAAGCATGAATATGTATGAGCATTTCGCTCAAAAGCGAAAATCCATCAGATGCGAATCCTGGAGTAAGAAGTTATTTGGGAAGTAAATGCAACTACTTAAATAGTCCTTCACTACACTGGGTAGGAGACCATCTTTCCGCTAAGTAAACTTGTTTAGTAATATTTAAGTCGCACTGAATATAAATGTACGCTTGTTCTACAGAGCGTAGCGTTCAGCAGAAGTCGGGCCGTTAACTTTTATTATGTTGCCATCAAAAATTTATGATGCCAACCAAACCCCTGTGACAATCCAACAAGTCAAGTCAACTTTGCAAAGCGGACGAACGAGCCTAGTTGAACAAAAACTGTTCCCCTTGTCCAGTAATTCCTTAAGTTTGCGAATAGTTATGTGACCCATTTGTACTGTCCTAGGCAACTGAGAATTTGAGAACATACGTTGCTGAGTTATCACGAAAACCTTCGCAAATTGTATCACGGAATCCTTCGCAAATTGTTATAGAGGATCAGTTGTCGTGGTAATCTTATAAGCGTCTATAGCTTGGACATCAATCTTTCGCAGTGTTGCGAAGATTACATCCAGTGCTCAGGTCCAAAGGACAATCATTCGATGGGAAAACCCATAGTTGCAGGTGATTAGGAAGACAAAATGTGCAGAAACAGACCTAGCCCTAACGAGTGCTTCATAAATGCTTAGAAAAGGTAAAACATAGCACAAAACACTAAACAAGCAGTTGTGTTTACTCACTGAACACCCTAGTTTGAAGAAAACATGTTTTCTGTGGCTTAGCTACATAGTATTACAACCCAATTAAATCAGATCGCAGTACTTGTACAACGATTCCCCCAACGCACCTTACCGAGTGCGAAGCTTGCATTTTACACCTGCACTATGGAGGAATTATGAGCGTTGTAAGATGTAGGAAAAACGGGACGATAGAAGACGATTCAAAAACTACCTCAAAATAAACCCAATACGAGGAAACACTCTCTTACCGTCATGATTATCGATAATCTCAGCTTGATCGGCATCCTTGGATGGCATAGTGACAATAGCTTTCAACGAATGTGGACGTACTGATGGAGGAACGTTGAACTGAAACCTTCTATTGATTGCTAAACTCTAGCCGAACTTGACTCTAATTCCTTTGAATTTTACTAAGCATATGGCGTAGCAGTTAAAAACCCGATCAAGGAAGTGGAAGCCGTTTCATGGATCATTCGCACTCTGAGAAGCTTCAACTGATAGTCTCTTCCTAGACTCGACTCAGTAAGATGTTGCATCATCTCAGTCCATTTTGCCTACCTTCAAACGTTTTTCTAATCTTTTCAGGTGGCCCTACTTAGCTCCCAACATTAGCACCTTCAAACATTTTCCTCATTTTTTAGGTGACCCTACTTAGCTCCCAAACTCTACTAGCGCTGGCTGGAATAGCAATCACTGTCAAATATTGCCAAAGAGGAGTGATTTTCGAAAATGCCAAGAGAAAAAGGCAGAGAGAGAAAATGAAGTTATCTTGTCTTGGATATTGGAAAACAGATAAGAGTTGCAACTTCATCATGAAAGTACTCGAGTGCCGAAACTCGAATTTCGAAGGGCTACGAAATTGCCCAGAAAACATCTGCTCAATAAAATAGTTTAAGTGAAGAAAAACTTGCAGTGAATTCTCTGGTTAAGAAGCTGGTAGAAGTTGGAGATGACGAATGAGGCGATGTCGATAATGCTGTTCGCTTATAATCGTATGAATTTGTGCTAGTCGCGGTACTGTCAGGAGTGACAATGTGTCGACTCGGTGAGCTCGGAAGATCCTTCTTGCTGCTAACGTTGCTACTGCTCCCAACACCGGACGTGTAGCGATGTTCAAGCCTCTCGACTACAGAATTCTCTGAAGTGAGCGAGTTGACACCACGCAAGCGGTCCGAGGAAACTGCCTGAAATTGGTAGAAATGTAAGTTATCGAACAAAACTGTTGCTCATTTTCACTATGCTGGAATAATATCAATTTCAGTCATTTGGGCGAGTGTAGAGTCGAAATTCATTTCAACAAATGAGGAGAAGATTAGGGTAACATGGTGGCATCAAGTGCAAGCGACAAGATCTGATTACCACATCATTTTCATGTTGCATATTGAAGTACAAAGTGGGATGGACTCCTAGTCCAATAACTGGTAACCAAAAACAAAATGCGAAAAGTGAATAGGCAGATAACCGCCGTGAGATCTCTATGCACCAATGAAGTAAACTGCCGTGCCTTTGGCAAAGCGTGTGGTTGAGGCAGACGAATGCACACTCTGGCAACTGTTTCAGAGGCTGGCAAAACACGAGTTCGAGACGACAGACATGATGATAACTACTGGTTGGCACTGGCGTTCCACAACAATATCTCATAAATAAAACGAAATGTTTTTTATATTGAAGTGAAGCTTTCACACAATGTATCTGCTTCTTCCTGCACTTTCATGTGATGAAGTAACACCTTTGCAGAGATTTCGGTACGGGTCTTTAATAACTAGTCCTTAGGGTATTAGTCGCATGTGCAATATTTCTGTTTTACATTGCAAAAGGCATTCACAGCTATATTTACTTTATGTTGTAGTCACCGAAAACGAGTTAACGTCTTCTCAACGCACCCTAAAAAAATCGAAAACTCTCCTAGACGGAACAGTATTATATCGGTCATCATTCGGTCACCGCTACTTCTTCACCCTATTATTATTTGTATTATTTATTGAGGGCGGAGGTGGTATAGTGGCAAGTGGCGCACTATATCACACGCACGGTCAGGGGTTCGAGTCCCGGATCGATGCCCACCTGGGCCAACCAAGCCTTCCATCCTTCCGGGGTCGGTGAATTGGTACCAGACTTGTCTGGGAGGATAAAAGCACTGACTTGTACATCGGCTGGCCACCGCAAGTCATTGTATAGGCCACATACGCACTCATTACGCCATTACGATTCTGAATCGAAGTCGAGTGTGGGGGCGGATCCCTTAGACGGGATTGATTAACGCCAAAAACTTTAAACTTTATAACTTTATTATTTATTGAACTATGGTCTTGTCAAGAATGTTTCCTGGATGTCATTCAACCACAGTTCCTTTTTGTTTCGTTACTGCGCTCGCTTCTTCATTGAAAATAATCATTATTCCAAGCGAATGTGATCCTATTTTCTAAACTTCTCTATGTTGCATGTACTATTGCTCGTCTGCCTCATCTTCACTTCCGCGAACATTTCTTACTGCGCATGCCCGAATCCATTTTATCCTCATCTTTCTAGCCGGAATACTTCGATATGATCCTTCCAATCAAGGTTTTACGTAATAGATGAGTCTCTACACCTTGTCGCTGGTTGCCTGTTCTAGCTAATGTTTACTTACAGAAAAGGGCATCAGGGCCGAAGCTTGAGAGCATGAGTTGAAAATTTTTATTATCCCTCTGTCCTCATGGACTGTGAGGTTTCTAAAAATAATGAAATCCTCTACCCCTATATTATATTTTCCTCCCCAGAGCATGTCACATTCCTTTGTTTTCTCAATCACTAACTTTTTCCTAACAAGATCAACTCGGTATATCGTAGTTACAGTTCCTTGGATGTGTGAGGATATAAATAATCCTCACAACGTGTAGCGATTCCTAGACAGTGTCCAGCCGCACAGTATCTCGTTCACGAAGGACGCCTGTTACCCTATTACATTTTCAGATTCATTCAAAGGAGTCATATACAACCTTCGGTTGCCTACGAAGGGACATACCTAAAAAATCAACGCGACTATTGTTACCGCATCGAATCGCGAGACAGAAAAACGAAAACGGAGGCGAACCTATCGAGAAATACTAGATCAATATCATCTTCCTTTCACAACTAACCCAAATTTTTGTAACCAACGACTTCAGAGTCCTCAGTCCCTATGATACTACGTGACCCTCAACAAAAAAANTTCGTTTTGACGCTTTTGTTTTCAAAGTCAGAAGTTCCTTTCGGCCGCTCTAACACTCCATGTTGGCTGATGGCTGAAGAGTGGCGATTGGCGTAAGGTGCCAATCAACATCACAAATCACTTTTTCGTTTAAAGGTTAAATTTAGGAATTTTAATCTTAGGCGAGCTGCATGAGCAATCCACTTAGTGCTATCGATCGACGCCGACTCTTTAACGTTCATAGTATCGCCATCAGTCAAATTTGGTGCGACAGCTTATCGCCATTGGTCAGCACGAAGTTTGGCTGATGGCTATCGCACTATGAAGGCGACTAGTTGAAGTTACCTTAAACCCGCTCTTATAAAACACTCGAATTGAGAGATCTTACGTTGCAGCAATGAAGAACGACTAACTCAAAACCTGTTATTAAATCTATCTTGGATTACAAGGCATTTGCCAGCGAATAGCGATCAACCCCCGAGAAATCAACAGAAGTGGTTGCAGCGAGTGAGAGTCCTACTTCTAACAAAAGCACAACTAAAGCAAGCGGTGTATGTAGGAATGTGGGCGTTCTTGTAAGCCTATTTTTCTGGTTAGTTCGTTGTTGATGCTTGCCATTGGGAAAAAATAACCGCTCAAAATCTTGACAACAGCATGGCATACATTAGGTTGCCAAAGTTCTACTTTTCCTTCACACTGGATGGGCTTATTTTCCTAACGTATGTTCTACTTAGGTGGTCTAAGCAATCATAGGAGGAATATACCAATCACTTTTCGGGTGGACGTGCATGGAAATACGACACAGGGTCATTTTTCATCTCAGGCTACGTCAACACAACTATCACTTTCCTCAACTATAACGAATCGAATTGTAAAATAATTCCCATGCTATAAGACCAAACTTTAGCACAAGACAAATGGCCGCAAGAGTGAGAGAGGCGCTTAAAGCTACAGGCCTTCACTTAAAATAGAACCGGTGAGAACGAGCTTCTTCCGAATTTCTAACCTTTTTTCCGATTTATATACTTTTAGTTCCTTCTGTTTCGCATAGAATTGCATTGTTAGCTATGTTGC